CCCCGCGTCTCTCTCTCCCCGCGTCTCTCTCTCCCCGTCTCTCTCTCCCCGTGTCTCTCTCTAACCCGTGTCTCTCTCTCCCCGCGTCTCTCTCTCCCCGTGTCTCTCTCTCTCTCCCCGTGTCTCTCTCCACATATCTCCCCACGTCTCTCTCTCCCCACGTGTCTCTCTCCCCACGTCTCTCTCTCCCCGTGTCTCTCTCTCCCCGCGTCTCTCTCTCCCCGTGTCTCTCTCTCCCCGTGTCTCTCTCTCTCTCCCCGTGTCTCTCTCCACATATCTCCCCACGTCTCTCTCTCCCCACGTGTCTCTCTCCCCACGTGTCTCTATCCCCGTGTCTCTCTCTCCCCACGTCTCTCTCTCCCCGTGTCTCTCTCTCTCCCCGTGTCTCTCTCTCTCCCCGTGTCTCTCCCCACCACCACCACCCCCCGCGTCTCACCGCCCGTCCCTCCTCTGCAGTGCCCCCATCTCGCACAACGTCTGCCCGATGTCGTGAGCGCAGATCCCGGTCTCCCTGCTGAGGGCCCGCAGCGAGATCCGCGGCCGCTGGGCCTGGCCCCCGGGGGCCTCCCCGCGGGCCTCCCCGCGGGCCTCCCCGCGGGCCTCCCCGCGCTGCCCGGCGATGGCCGCTAGGAGCGTGTGGCGCCAGTAGGAGGCGTAGGACAGGCGGCCGAGCTCGGACAGCGGCTTTTCGGGAGTGCCTGCCTGGCCCTCGCGACGGGAGAGCAGATAGCCTGGCGTGGGAGGGGAGAGAGAGAGAGAGCTAGGGTGGTGGTGGTGAGGGTGGTGAGGGTGGTGGTGGTGGTGGTGAGGGTGGTGGTGGTGGTGGTGATGATGATGGTGGTGGTGGTGGTGATGGTGGTGATGATGGTGGTGAGGGTGGTGGTGGTGGTGATGGTGGTGGTGATGATGGTGGTGGTGATGGTGGTGATGGTGGTGAGGGTGGTGGTGGTGGTGGAGGTGAGGGTGGTGGTGGTGTTGGTGGTGATGATGGTGGTGGTGATGGTGGTGGTTATGGTGGTGATGGTGGTTATGGTGGTGATGGTGGTGAGGGTGGTGGGGAGAGAGAGAGAGAGCTAGAGTGGTGGTGGTGGTGGGGAGGGTGGTGAGGGTGGTGGTGGTGGTGGTGGTGATGATGGTGATGGTGATGATGGAGGTGATGGTGATGATGGTGGTGGTGATGATGGAGGTGATGGTGATGATGGAGGTGATGGTGATGATGGTGGTGGTAATGGTGGTGGTCAGGATGATGATGATGGTGGTGACGGTGATGATGGAGGTGATGATGGTGATGATGGAGGTGATGGTGATGATGGTGGACTCACTGAAATCAATGAGGAGTCGTCCATATCCGAGCCGCTGGTACTGTGGCAGGATCATGATGCATGAGACGTTATATTTCTGAGCACACAGTTTCTCCTGTGTACAAAGACACACAGCGGGGTGAGTAGGTGAGTGGGTGAGTGAGTGGGTGAGTAGGTGAGTGGGTGGGTGAGTGAGTGGGTGAGTGGGTGAGTGAGTGGGTGAGTGAGTGGGTGAGTGGGTGAGTGGGTGAGTGAGTGAGTGAGTGGGTGAGTAGGTGAGTGGGTGGGTGAGTGAGTGGGTGAGTGGGTGAGTGAGTGAGTGAGTGGGTGGGTGAGTGGGTGAGTGAGTGAGTGAGTGGGTGGGTGAGTGAGTGAGTGGGTGAGTGGGTGGGTGAGTGAGTGGATGGGTGAGTGAGTGAGTGGGTGAGTGAGTGGGTTAGTGGGTGAGTAGGTGAGTGGGTGAGTGGGTGAGTAGGTGAGTGGGTGGGTGAGTGGGTGAGTGAGTGAGTGGGTGAGTGAGTGAGTGGGTGGGTGAGTGGGTGAGTGAGTGGCTGAGTGGGTGAGTGAGTGAGTGGCTGAGTGAGTGAGTGGCTGAGTGAGTGAGTGGCTGAGTGAGTGAGTGGCTGAGTGAGTGAGTGACTGAGTGAGTGGCTGAGTGAGTGGGTGGGTGGCTGAGTGAGTGAGTGGCTGAGTGAGTGGCTGAGTGAGTGAGTGGCTGAGTGAGTGAGTGGCTGAGTGAGTGGCTGAGTGGCTGAGTGAGTGAGTGGCTGAGTGAGTGGGTGAGTGAGTGGCTGAGTGAGTGAGTGGCTGAGTGAGTGGGTGAGTGGCTGAGTGAGTGAGTGGCTGAGTGAGTGAGTGGTTGAGTGAGTGATGAGTGGCTGAGTGAGTGAGTGGCTGAGTGAGTGGCTGAGTGAGTGAGTGGCTGAGTGAGTGAGTGAGTGGCTGAGTGAGTGGCTGAGTGAGTGAGTGGATGAGTGAGTGAGTGGCTGAGTGAGTGAGTGGCTGAGTGAGTGAGTGGCTGAGTGAGTGAGTGGCTGAGTGAGTGGCTGAGTGAGTGAGTGACTGAGTGAGTGAGTGGCTGAGTGAGTGACTGAGCGAGCGGACAATCGGACGAGCGAGCGGACGAGCGAGGAGCCCCTCACCTTGCTGAAGTAGCCGACAATGTGAGATCCTCCAGCGTCGTTGCTGGTGAGGACGTAGAACAGGAATGGCTCCACATCGTAAAGCAGCGTCTTGTGGTCCAGGAAAAGTTTCGCCAGGAGGCACAGGTTCTGGCAGTAGAGTTTGCTCACCCTGCCATCAACCTGGTGGTGGTGGTGGCGGTGGTGGACAACGGCGATGAGAGGGTGGACAACCGCGAGGGGGTGGAGCGGCGAGACACGGCAGTACAGCTAGCTCAACCTGTAGTCAACCCGGCGGTGGTGGCGGTGGTGGCGGTGGAGGTGGTGGAGGTGATGGTGGTGGTGATGGTGGTGGTCGTGGAGGTGGTGGTGGTGGTGGAGGTGGTGGTGATGGTGGTGGTGGTGGTGATGGTGGTGGAGGTGGTGATGGTGGTGGAGGTGGTGTTGGTGGTGATGGCGGTGGAGGTGGTGGTGGAGGTGATGGTGGAGGTGGTGGTGGAGGTGATGGTGGTGATGGTGGTGGTGATGGTGGTGAGGGTGGTGATGGTGGTGGTGGTGATGGTGGTGGTGGTGGTGGTAGTGGTGGCGATGGTGGTGATGGTGGTGGTGGTGATGGTGATGATGGTGGCGGTGGTGGTGGTGGTGGTGATGGTGGTGGAGGTGGAGGCGGTGGTGTTGGTGGTGGTGGTGGACTACGTTCAATGATGAGAGACAGAGGTGGGGAGCGTGTGGGGTGGACAACCGCGGGTGGACAAAACGAGCGTGGGACAATGGAGGTGGTGGACAATCGGTGGGACAATGGAGGTGGTGGACACAGTGGTGGACACAGTGGTGGACACAGCGGTGGACACAGTGGTGGACACAGTGGTGGACACAGTGGTGGACACAGTGGTGGACAACTCCTCACCTCGTAAACACTCATGCCGCGATGACGGTAGATCTCGTTGGCCGGTGGGTGGACCCACCCGCAGTGAGCGAGGTGGTGGACTAGCACGGGACGACTCCGCATGTAGGCCAGGCAGAACTCGCACACAAAGAGGCGACGGAGCCTGGCCCGGGAGAGAGACGAGCAGAGAGTCCACCACCATCGCTCAGAGTCCACCACGGGCGTAGATAGTCAACCACGGGCAGAGAGAGTCAACCACCTTCACTCAGAGTGACTGAGTGACTTACTGACTGACTGAGTGACTGACTGAGTGACTGAGTGAGTGACTGAGTGAGTGACTGAGTGACTGAGTGAGTGACTGAGTGAGTGACTGAGTGACTTACTGACTGACTGAGTGACTCACTGACTCACTGACTGAGTGACTGACTGAGTGACTGACTGAGTGACTTACTGACTGAGTGACTGACTGAGTGACTGACTGAGTTACTGACTGACTGAGTGAGTGAGTGACTGAGTGGCTGATTTAGTGAGTGACTGAATGACTGACTGAGTGACTGAGTGACTGCCTGAGTGACTGAGTGACTTACTGACTGACTGAGTGACTCACTGACTGAGTGACTGACTGAGTGACTAACTGAGTGACTGACTGAGTGACTGCCTGAGTGACTGCCTGAGTGACTGAGTGACTTACTGACTGACTGAGTGACTCACTGACTGAGTGACTGACTGAGTGACTAACTGAGTGACTGACTGATTGAGTGACTGAGTGACTTACTGACTGACTGAGTGAGTGACTGAGTGGCTGACTAAATGACTGAGTAACTCACTGACTGAGTCACTGACTGACTGAGTGACTGACTGAGTGACTGACTGACTGAATGAGTGAGTGACTCACTGACTGAGTGACTCACTGACTGAGTGACTGACTGAGTGACTGACTGACTGAGTGACTGACTGAGTGACTGACTGAGTGACTGACTGACTGAGTGACTGACTGAGTGACTGACTGAGTGACTGACTGACTGAGTGACTGAGTGACTGACTGAGTGACTGATTGACTGACTGAGTGACTGACTGAGTGACTGAGTGACTGACTGACTGACTGAGTGACTGACTGAGTGACTGAGTGACTGAGTGAGTGACTGACTGAGTGACTGAGTGAGTGACTGAGTGACTGAGTGAGTGACTGACTGAGTGACTGAGTGACTGACAGTGATTTAGTGAGTGACTGAGTGACTGACTGAGTGACTGACTGAGTGACTGAGTGAGTGACTCACTGAGTGACTGACTGACTGAGTGACTGACTCACTGACTGACTGAGTGACTGACTGACTGAGAGACTGACTGAGTGACTCACTGACTGACTGACTCACTGAATGACTGAGTGACTGACTGAGTGACTGAGTGAGTGACTCGCTGAGTGACTAACTGACTGACTGAGTGACTGACTGACTCACTGACTGAGTGAGTGACTGAGTGACTGAATGACTCACTGAATGACTGAGTGACTGAGTGACTGACTGAGTGACTGAGTGACTAAGTGACTGAGTAATTTAGTGAGTGACTGACTTGAGTGATTTAGTGAGTGACTGAGTGACTGAGTGACTGACTAAGTGACTAAGTAACTGACTCACTGAGTGACTGACTGAGTGACTGAATGAGTGACTGACTCACTGACTGAGTGACTGACTCACTGACTGAGTGACTGACTCACTGACTATGTGACTGAGTGACTGACTGACTATGTGACTGAGTGACTGACTGACTGAGTGACTGACTGAGTGACTGAGTGAGTGACTGACTGAGTGACTGACTGACTATGTGACTGAATGAGTGACTGACTGACTGAGTGACTGACTGAGTGACTATGTGACTGAATGAGTGACTGACTGAGTGACTGAATGAGTGACTGATTGACTGAGTGACTGACTGACTGAGTGACTGACTGACCACTCACCTGGCGTATTCCCGTGGGTACGGCGATGAGAACCAGGTACGGATTTCAAACTTGCCGAGGACGATGGCTGACGGATAGCGGGCTGATGCGGTAACGTCACCACAACCACCACCGCCACAACCACCGCCACAACCACCACAACCACAACCACCACTGGCCGCATTGGCGAGAGAATCAAACTCCTCTTCCTGCGAAACTCTCTGGAGAGACAGAGAGAAAGAGGTGATGCTGGTGATGGTGGTGATGATGGTGGTGATGGTGGTGATGATGGTGGTGATGGTGGTGATGGTGGTGTTGGTGGTGTTGGTGGTGGTGGTTATGGTGTTGGTGGTGGTGGTGATGATGGTGGTGGTGATGATGGTGGTGGTGGTGGTGGTGTTGGTGGTGGTAGTGGTGTTAGTGGTGGTGGTGTTAGTGGTGGTGTTAGTGGTGGTAGTGGTGGTAGCGGTGGTGGTGGTGTTGGTGGTAGCGGTGGTGGTGGTGTTGGTGGTGGTGATGGTGGTGGTGGTGGTGATGGTGGTGGTGATGATGGTGATGATGGTGGTGACGGTGGTGACGGTGGTACAGGTGGTTGATGTTGTGGTGGTGGTGGTGACGATGATGGTGATGATGATGGTGGTGATGGTGGTGGTGATGATGGTGGTGATGGTGATGATGGTGATGGTGGTGGTGATGGTGGTGGTGATGATGATGGTGATGGTGGTGATGGTGGTGGTGATGGTGGTGATGGTGGTGATGGTGGTGATGGTGATGATAGTGGTGATGATGATGGTGGTGATGGTGACGGTTGCCGTGGTTACCTCCATGGCGATGCGAGTGGCGGTCTGGAAGAGCTGCTCATCATCGTCCGTAACTCCTCCACGCAGATCACCGTCACCATCACCGTCACCATCATCGTCACCACCATCGTGATGACCATCATCCCCATCCTCCTCCTCCTCTTCAACCACAGAGCAACCACCTGTACCACCATCACCACCACTGTCACCATCACCACCATCACCATCACCACCAACATCACCACCTGTACCACCATCACCACCGTCACCATCATCACCACCACCTGTACCACCTTCATCACCACCACCATCACCACCATCACCACCTGTACCACCATCACCACCGTCACCACCATCACCACAACATCAACCACCTGTACGACCATCACCACCATCATCACCACCACCATCACCACCATCGTCACCACCATCACCATCACCACCATCGTCACCATCACCACCATCACCACCATCACCACCATCACCACCTGTACCACCATCACCACCGTCACCATCATCACCACCACCTGTACCACCTTCATCACCATCACCATCACCACCATCACCACCTGTACCACCATCACCACCGTCACCACCATCACCACAACATCAACCACCTGTACCACCATCACCATCACCACCATCACCACCTGTACCACCTTCATCACCATCACCACCGTCACCACCATCACCACCATCACCTGTACCACCATCATCACCACCATCATCACCATCACCACATCAACCACCTGTACCATCACAACATCAACCACCTGTACCACCATCACCACAACATCAACCATCACCACAACATCATCCACCATCACTACCACCACAACCATCACCACATCAACCACCTGTACCACCATCACTACAACATAAACCACCATCACTACCACCATCACTACAACATAAACCACCATCACTACCACCATCACCACAACATCAACCACCATCACTACCACCATTACCATCACCACAACATCAACCACCATCACTACCACCACTACCATCACCACAACATCAACCACCATCACTACCACCACTACCATCACCACAACATCATCCACCATCACTACCACCACTACCATCATCACAACATCATCCACCATCACTACCACCACGACCATCACCACATCATCCATCACTACCACCATCACCACATCAACCACCATCACCATAACATCAACTACCATCACTACCACCATCACAACATCATCCACCATCACTTCCACCACCACCATCATCACAACATCAACCACCATCACAACCACCAGCACTACCACGCTGTGTGTGTGTGTGTCTGTGTGTGTCTGTGTGTGTCTGTGTGTGTCTGTGTGTGTGTGTCTGTGTGTCTGTGTGTATGTGTGTGTCACTGCAGCTGCAATGGCTGCTTTGGGTACGCGGTCCAGACCTCCCCAGACACCCTGGATGACAGAGGAGTTGTTCAGGATGGTTGAGAAAAAGCGACAGGCCCACTGTCATCGGCTACAGAATCCCACGTCAGAGAATGAGGAGGCTTACCGCAGCCTTCGCTCGGAGGTTCGGAGAGCCGTGAGGCGCTGCAAGGATGGGTGGTGGTCGCGGGTTGCTGAGGAGATGGAGTCTGCCTCAGTGGCCCGTGATCACAAATCTCTATTTAACTCCATCAAAAAAGTAACCTGCAGCACCACACCTATTACCATCATTAGGGGAAAAAACGGTGATCCAATTTCCGACCCCCAGGAACAGGTTCGCAGATTTGCTGAGCATTTCTGTGAGGTCCTGGAGGAGGGAAAATCCCTCAGCCAGGAAAACATCGTGGCACAAAGTGAGGATGACCCTGCTGAGGCTGCGGTGCCTCAAATATTGGATGAAGTCACCCCCTGTGAGTGGCTGGCTGAGGTGCCATCTGCTGAGGAAGTATTGAAGGCGATCCGGAGTCTGAGACCAGGAAAGGCAGCGGGCAGAGATGATCTCCCAAGCGAAATGCTGAGGGAGGGTGGCGTTTGTGCACAGACTGCCCTATATGACATCATAACAACAGTCTGGACCACTGGACGGGTTCCGCAGGATTGGAAGGATGCCCTGGTGGTCCCCCTTTTTAAGAAGGGGGACCGCACAGACTGTAACAACTACAGGGGCATCTCACTCCTCAGTGTGCCGGGAAAGGTCCTGGCAAGGATTATTCAGCATCGCCTTGCCAGGCACGCTGAGGAGAGGCTTGCGGAGCCCCAATGCGGTTTCAGGAAAGGGCGGTCCTGCACAGATGCCATATTTTCTGTCCGTCTGCTACAGCAGAGGTGTAGGGAATTCCAACAAGACCTACATCTCTGCTTTATTGACCTGGTCAAGGCCTATGATACCATCAGTAGGCCTGGGCTCTGGGTCGTTCTTCGTGCTTTTGGAGTACCTGACCCTCTGCTCACGATCATTAAGGACCTTCATGATGGTAAGCGGGCCCGGGTAAAACTACGTGGCCGGGAGTCAGAGCCATTCCCTGTACACCTTGGGGTGCGACAGGGATGTCCTCTGGCTCCCACATTAATTAACATCTATTTTGACCACGTAGTTCGTGAAGCCTTCAATAGCTGTACCGGGGGAATCTCCATATGGTACAGATATAATGGGAGGCTGATCAATGCCCGGGTGCGGTCAAGGGATGGCTCCGTATTGATCAACCAGCCCCACCAAAACTAAGCACCTGCCTGGGTATTTTGTACCATCGAACACTCCACCCCCACAGCTCCCAATCGGTGATGGGGCAGTTGTGGAGAGAGTGGAGAGTTTCCCATACCTGGGTAGTGTGCTTATGACTGGCTCCAGTTTAACAGCAGAGGTCTCACTCCGAATCCGTCGAACGGCAATATATTTTCATCGGTTGCGTAACGCGGTGTGGAAGCTACCTGGTCTGTCGCTCCGCACTAAGCTTCAGGTCTTCTCGGCCACGGTCATTCCCTCCCTTCTCTACGCTTGCGAAACGTGGACCCCCCTAATGAAACATCTTCGCCGGTTAGAAACATTTAGGCTGGCCTGCCTACGATCCATCCTGGGTTTAACCAGACTGGATTGTGTGAGGAGCTCACAAATCCTTGAAAGATCTGGGCAGGGTCCCATCGGTGAGCTCCTCCGGCAGGCAAGGCTGCGATGGCTGGGTCATGTAGCCCGCATGCCCAGACACCGCATGCCGAAACAGCTTTTGTTTGGCCGGATTGAGGGGGCTAAGCGGGCGCGGCACGGGCTAGAGAAGAGATGGAGTGATGTGGTACAGGAGGACGTGGAGCTGAGTGGACTTGCCGATGACTGGTACCAGCGGTGTCAAGATCGGCCTCTGTGGAGGAGGCTCGTGAAGGATGCTACTGGGCAGTTGGAGGCAGTCGCCCTCCAACAACAACGGAGGGCGGAGGAGCGACGCTCAGAACAACGAGCGGAGCGCCGGGTGGCTAAAGCACAGCAGGTTGGCACAGTAGGGGGCACAGGTGGTGCATCAGCCAGTCATCTCAGTCAGTCGACCCGTGGCACCTGGGTCTGCCCCGTGACCTCCTGCCAGCGGGCGTTCGACACTTCACGTGGCCTCAAGGTGCACATAGCCTGGCACAAGCGTCGTGGTGACGTCACCGCCACTTAGTGGCGAATGGCGGTTGTTGTTGTTGTTGTATGTAACTGTATGTATGTGTCTGTGTGTCTGTGTGTGTGTCTGTGTGTGTGTGTAACTGTGTGTGTATGTAACTGTGTGTATGTGTCTGTGTCTGTGTGTGTCTGTGTGTAACTGTGTGTATGTGTCTATGTGTCACTGTATGTAACTGTGTGTGTAACTGTGTGTGTCACCGTGTGTCACTGTGTGTGTGTCTGTGTGTAACTGTGTGTATGTGTCTGTGTATGTGTATGTTACTGTGTGTGTATGTAACTGCATGTATGTGTGTGTGTCTGTGTGTGTAACTGTATGTATGTAACTGTGTGTAACTGTGTGTATGTATGTGTGTATCTGTATGTGTCTGTGTGTGTCTGTATGTGTCACTGTGTGTCACTGTGTCTGTGTGTATCTGTGTGTGTGTGTGTAACTGTGTGTGTATGTAACTGTATGTATGTGTCTGTGTCTGTGTGTGTAACTGTATGTGTAACTGTGTGTATGTGTCTGTGTATGTGTATGTGTGTGTCTGTGTATGTGTATGTGTGTGTCTGTGTGTGTCTGTGTATGTGTATGTGTGTGTCCGAGTCTCCGTCACCGTGCGAGCGACGCGACCCTCCAGGCCGCTGACTCGCCCCCGACACTTTGCTGCCGCTGCTGACGACTCCAACTTTGTTGTTGTTGTTGACTTTGTTGTTGTTGTTGACTTTGTTGTTGTTGTTGACTTTGTTGTTGTTGTTGTTGCTGTTGACGGCCGGCTGATGCTCGGGCTTCTTTTTCCGAACCCCGCCCGGCTGCGCGGGGCAACGAAGAGAAGCCTCCGACGATGACGATGATGACGATGATGACGATGATGACGATGACGACGATGATGACGATGATGACGATGATGATGACGACGAGGAGGTGGAGGAGGTGGAGGAGGAGGTGGAGGAGGTGGACGATGAGGAGTGGTGGAGGTGGTGGTGGTGGAGGTGGTGGTGGAGGTGGTGGCCGTGCCCGTGGTGGTGGTGGTGGTGGCTCCGTCGGCCGGGTGAGGGCGTGAAGAATTTTGAGAGGCCGTCGATGAGTCCCTTGGGGCGGGCCTTGGGGGGGGGGGGGAGGAGGGGGCCATCGACACAACAACAACAACAACCAGTCACAACAACAACAACCAGTCACAACAACAACAACCACTGTCACTACAACAACAACAACTACCAGTGTCACAACAACAACAACAACCAGTACTGTCACAACAACAACAACCAGTACTGTCACAACAACAACAACCAGTACTGTCACGTCAACAACCACTGTCACAACAACAACAACCACTGTCATCACTACTGTCTTAACCACAACAAGTGATGATCATGGTGGTGATGGTGGTAGTGACGGTGGTGATGGTGGTGATGGTGGTGGTGATGATGGTGGTGGTGGTGATGGTGATGGTGGTGATGATGGTGGTGGTGATGATGGTGGTGGTGGTGATGGTGGTGGTGGTGATGATGGTGGTGGTGATGGTGGTGGTGGTGATGATGGTGGTGGTGATGGTGGTGGTGGTGATGATGGTGGTGGTGATGGTGGTGATGGTGATGGTGGTGATGATGATGATGGTGGTGATGGTGGTGATGGTGGTGATGGTGATGATGGTGGTGATGGTGGTGGTGATGATGGTGGTGGTGGTGATGGTGGTGATGGTGGTGGTGATGGTGGTGGTGATGATGGTGATGATGGTGATGGTGGTGATGGTGGTGATGGTGGTAGTGACGGTGATGGTAGTGGTGATGACGGCAGTAGTGATGGTGACGGTGATGCCCACTCCACATTACCCTGGCAGGATCTCTGGACGACGGCCGCGCTCTCAGGCTGGGCCGGAGAGAATCCACCCACAGCAACCTACAACAATATTAACAACAACAACATCAACAACATCATCATCAACATCATCAACAACCACATCAACATATTCTTAGTCACGAAAGCTTTAAATCAAAATTTAACCACATCAACATCAACAACATCAACATCAACAACACCATCAACAACATCATCAACATCAACAACATCATCAACAACATCAACATCATCAACAACATCAACATCATCAACAACATCAACAACATCAACAACATCAACAACATAATCAACATCATCAACATCATCAACATAATCAACATCATCAACATCAACAACAACATCAACAACATCAACATCATCAACAACATCAACAACAACATCAACAACATCAACATCATCAACATCATCAACAACATCAACAACAACATCAACATCAACAACATCAACCACATCAACATCAACAACATCAACATCATCATCATCAACAACAACATCAACAACAACAACCACATCAACAACATCACCAAAACAACATCAACAACAACATCATCAACAACAACATCAACAACAACATCAAAAACATCAACAACAACATCAACAACAACATCATCAACATCAACAACAACATCAACATCATCAAAAACATCAAAAACATCAACAACAACAACATCAACAACCGCGGTCGCCACGGCGGCGGTCGCCACGGCGACGGTCGCCGCGGCGACGGTCGCCACGGTTACCTGGGGCGGCCGTTGCCTCCTCCCCCTCCTCCTCCTCCTCCCCCTCCTCCGTTGCCGCCGTTGCCGTGGTAACGGCGCTTGATCTGCGACGCCGCCTCGCGGAGGCGGGCCCATCGCCGCGACGACGACCTCTGACCCCCGGCGGCGACCCCTCCTCCTCCTCCTCGACCCCCCGGCCGCAACCCCCCCGGCGACCCCGGAGCCCCCCGCGACCTCTGGACCCCGCCGCGACCTCCGACCCCCCGCCGCGAAGAGGCCCCGGGGGCAACCCCCACGGTGACCCCGCCGCGACCCCCAGCCCCGGCCGTGACCCCGCCGCGACCTACGACCCCGAGGGTTCCGCGACCCCGGGGGCAGCAGAACTGGCAGATCCATTGGCCTGGGTTCGGAGGTCACGGGGGGGGGGGTCATGGGGGGGTCACGGGTGAGTGGTGGGTGAGTGAGTGAGTGAGTGGTGGGTGAGTGAATGGGTGAGTGAGTGGTGGGTGAGTGGGTGAGTGGTGGGTGAGTGAGTGGGTGAGTGAGTGGGTGAGTGAGTGAGTGAGTGGGTGAGTGGTGGGTGAGTGAGTGGGTGAGTGAGTGGTGGGTGAGTGGATAAGTGGTGGGTGAGTGAGTGGGTGAGTGAGTGGGTGAGTGAGTGAGTGGTGGGTGAGTGGGTGAGTGGTGGGTGAGTGAGTGGGTGAGTGAGTGGGTGAGTGAGTGAGTGAGTGGTGGGTGAGTGGGTGAGTGGTGGGTGAGTGAGTGGGTGAGTGAGTGGTGGGTGAGTGGGTGAGTGGTGGGTGAGTGAGTGGGTGAGTGAGTGGGTGAGTGAGTGAGTGGTGGGTGAGTGGGTGAGTGGTGGGTGAGTGAGTGGGTGAGTGAGTGGGTGAGTGAGTGAGTGAGTGGTGGGTGAGTGGGTGGGTGAGTGGGTGAGTGGGTGGGTGAGTGGGTGAGTGAGTGGTGGGTGAGTGAGTGAGTGGTGGGTGGGTGAGTGAGTGAGTGGTGGGTGGGTGAGTGAGTGAGTGGTGGGTGAGTGAGTGAGTGAGTGGTGGGTGAGTGGGTGAGTGGTGGGTGAGTGGGTGAGTGAGTGGGTGAGTGAGTGGTGGGTGAGTGAGTGAGTGGTGGGTGAGTGGGTGAGTGAGTGGTGGGTGAGTGAGTGAGTGAGTGGTGGGTGAGTGAGTGAGTGAGTGGTGGGTGAGTGGGTGAGTGGTGGGTGAGTGGGTGAGTGGTGGGTGAGTGGGTGAGTGGTGGGTGAGTGAGTGAGTGGGTGGGTGAGTGGGTGAGTGAGTGGGTGAGTGGGTGAGTGAGTGGGTGAGTGAGTGGTGGGTGAGTGAGTGGGTGAGTGGGTGAGTGGTGGGTGAGTGGTGGGTGAGTGAGTGAGTGAGTGGGTGAGTGGGTGGGTGAGTGGGTGAGTGAGTGGGTGAGTGGGTGAGTGAGTGGGTGAGTGAGTGGTGGGTGAGTGAGTGGGTGAGTGGGTGAGTGGGTGAGTGGTGGGTGAGTGGTGGGTGAGTGAGTGAGTGGGTGAGTGGGTGGGTGAGTGGGTGAGTGAGTGGTGGGTGAGTGAGTGAGTGAGTGGGTGAGTGGGTGAGTGAGTGAGTGGGTGAGTGGGTGAGTGGGTGGGTGAGTGGGTGAGTGAGTGGGTGAGTGAGTGAGTGAGTGGGTGGGTGGGTGGGTGAGTGAGTGAGTGGTGGGTGAGTGAGTGGGTGAGTGAGTGGGTGAGTGAGTGAGTGGGTGAGTGAGTGAGTGGGTGAGTGGGTGGGTGAGTGGTGGGTGAGTGAGTGGGTGAGTGAGTGGGTGAGTGAGTGGGTGAGTGAGTGAGTGGGTGAGTGGGTGGGTGAGTGGGTGAGTGAGTGGGTGAGTGGTGGGTGAGTGAGTGAGTGGGTGAGTGAGTGGGTGAGTGGGTGGGTGAGTGAGTGAGTGGGTGAGTGAGTGGGTGAGTGGGTGGGTGAGTGAGTGAGTGAGTGGTGGGTGAGTGAGTGAGTGGGTGAGTGGGTGAGTGAGTGGGTGAGTGAGTGGGTGAGTGAGTGGGTGAGTGGGTGAGTGGGTGGGTGAGTGGGTGGGTGAGTGGGTGAGTGGGTGAGTGAGTGAGTGGGTGAGTGAGTGAGTAGGTGAGTGAGTGGGTGAGTGAGTGACTGATTGAGTAAGTGACTGACTGAGTAACTGACTGAGTGAGTGACTGAGTGACTGACCGACTGACTGAGTGACTGAGTGAGTGACTGAGTGACTGACTGACTGACTGAGTGACTGAGTGAGTGACTGAGTGACTGACTGAGTGAGTGACTGAGTGAGTGACTGAGTGACTGAGTAAGTGACTGAGTGAGTGACTGACTGACTGAGTGACTCCTCACCCTTGGGCATGCGGAGTATTGGAGGATCACAACACTGCATGTGAGTGACTGAGTGACTGACTGAGTGACTGACTGAGTGACTGAGTGAGTAACTGAGTGACTGACTGAGTGACTGAGTGACTGACTGACTGACTGAGTGACTGACTGAGTGAGTGACTGAGTGACTGACTGAGTGACTGACTGAGTGACTGACTGAGTGACTGAGTGACTGACTGAGTGACTGACTGAGTGACTGACTGACTGAGTGACTGACTGAGTGACTGAGTGACTGACTGAGTGACTGACTGAGTGACTGAGTGACTGACTGAGTGACTGAGTGAGTGACTGAGTGACTGAGTGAGTGACTGAGTGACTGAGTGAGTGACTGAGTGACTGACTGAGTGACTGACTGAGTGACTGACTGAGTGACTGAGTGAGTGACTGAGTGACTGACTGAGTGAGTGATTCCTCACCCTTGGGCATGCGGAGTATTGGAGGATCACAACACTGCATGTGAGTGAGTGACTGACTGACTGACTGACTAACTGAGTGACTGAGTGACTGAGTGACTGGGTGAGTGAGTGACTGAGTGACTGACTGAGTGACTGACTGACTGAATGAGTGAGTGACTGAGTGAGTGAGTGACTGAGTGACTGGGTGACTGAGTGACTGAGTGACTGACTGAGTGACTGGGTGAGTGAGTCACTGACTGAGTGACTGAGTGAGTGACTGAGTGACTGACTGAGTGACTGACTGACTGAGTGAATCCTCACCCTTGGGCATGCGGAGTATTGGAGGATCACAACACTGCATGTGAAACCCGCGGTCACAGGAGTCACAGAACAGCATGTTCTCCTGTAACCATAGCAACGGGGGAACAACGTTACCACGGCAACCGCAGACGTTTACCATAGCAACCACTCACCGCCATTGCTTCATCGCTAGCCGCAGACATTAACAGAGCGACGAGGGGTAACCATAGCAACCAAGAGACTCCCAGAGACTCACAAAGACTCCCAGAGTCTCCCAGAGACTCCCAGAGTCTCCCAGAGTCTCCCAGAGACTCACAGAGTCTCCCAGCGTCTCCCAGAGTCTCACAGAGTATCACAGAGTCTCCCAGAGACTCCCAGAGTCTCACAGAGTCTCACAGAGACTCCCAGAGTCTCACAGAGACTCCCAGATACTCCCTGAGTCTCCCAGAGTCTCCCAAAGTCTCACAGAGTCTCCCAGAGACTCCCAGAGACTCCCAGAGTCTCCCAGAGACTCTGTGAGACTCTGTGAGACTCACAGAGACTGCCAGAGTCTCACAGAGTCTCACAGTCTCCCAGAGTCTCACAGAGTCTCACAGAGACTCCCAGAGTCTCCCAGACTCTCCCAGAGTCTCACAGATGCTCTCAGAGACTCCCAGAGACTCCCAGAGTCTCACAGAGAATCCCAGAGTCTCCCAGAGACTCCTAGAGTCTCCCAGAGACTCACAGAGTCTCCCAGCGTCTCCCAGAGACTCCCAGAGTCTCCCAGAGTCTCCCAGAGTCTCACAGAGTCTCACAGAGTCTCCCAGAGTCTCACAGAGTCTCCCAGAGTCTCCCAGAGACTCCTAGAGTCTCCCAGAGACTCACAGAGTCTCCCAGAGTCTCCCAGAGACTCCCAGAGACTCCCAGAGTCTCCCAGAGTCTCCCAGAGACTCACAGAGTCTCCCAGCGTCTCCCAGAGTCTCACAGAGTATCACAGAGTCTCCCAGAGACTCCCAGAGTCTCACAGAGTCTCACAGAGACTCCCAGATACTCCCTGAGTCTCCCAGAGTCTCCCAAAGTCTCACAGAGTCTCCCAGAGACTCCCAGAGACTCCCAGAGTCTCCCAGAGACTCTGTGAGACTCTGTGAGACTCACAGAGACTGCCAGAGTCTCACAGAGTCTCACAGTCTCCCAGAGTCTCACAGAGTCTCACAGAGACTCCCAGAGTCTCCCAGACTCTCCCAGAGTCTCACAGATGCTCTCAGAGACTCCCAGAGACTCCCAGAGTCTCACAGAGACTCCCAGAGTCTCCCAGAGACTCCTAGAGTCTCCCAGAGACTCACAGAGTCTCCCAGCGTCTCCCAGAGACTCCCAGAGACTCCCAGAGTCTCCCAGAGTCTCCCAGAGTCTCACAGAGTCTCACAGAGTCTCACAGAGTCTCCCAGAGTCTCCCAGAGACTCCCAGAGTCTCCCAGAGACTCCCAGAGACTCCCAGAGTCTCCCAGAGACTCCCAGAGACTCCCAGAGTCTCCCAGAGTCTCCCAGAGACTCCCAGAGACTCCCAGACACTCCCTGAGACTCCCAGAGACTCCCATAGTCTCCCAGAGTCTCCCAGAGTCTCCCAGAGTCTCACAGAGTCTCCCAGAGTCTCCCAGAGACTCCTAGAGTCTCACAGAGTCTCTCTGAGACTCCCAGAGACTCCCAGAGTCTCCCAGAGTATCCCAGAGACTCACAGAGACTCCCAGAGTCTCCCAGAGACTCCCAGAGTCTCCCAGAGGCTCCCAGAGACTCCCAGAGACTCCCAGAGACTCCCAGAGTCTCTCAGAGACTCCCAGAGACTCCCAGAGTCTCCCAGAGTCTCCCAGAGACTCCGAGAGTCTCCCAAAGTCTCCCAGAGACTCCCAGAGTCTCCCAGAGTCTCCCAGAGACTCCCAGAGACTCCCTGAGTCTCTGGGAGTCTCTGGGAGTCTCTAGGAGTCTCAGGGAGTCTCCCAGTCTCCCAGAAACACTGGGAGACTACCAGAGACTCCCACAGACACTGGGAGACTCCCTGAGACTCCCAAAGTCTCCCAGAGACTCCCAGAGACTCCCAGAGACACCCAGAGACTCCCTGAGACTTCCAGAGACTCCCAGAGTTACCCAGAGACTCCCAGAGACTCCCAGAGACTCACAGAGACTCCCAGAGTCTCCCAGAGACTCCCAGAGACTCCCAGAGACTCCGGGAGACTCCGGGAGACTCCGGGAGACTCCCTGAGACTCCCAGAGTCTCCGAGAGACTCCCAGAGACTCCCAGAGTCTCCCAGAGACTCCCAGAGACTCCCAGAGACTCACAGAGTCTCCCAGAGACTCCCGGCGTAGTCTCCCGGCATAGCGGCTCACCGAGTTGCTCCCCGTGTCACGGCACACACTGCAGGTCTTGCAGTCGAAGCACTGCCAGGGAAGGCGACGCACCCTGAGGCCCAGCTCAGCAGACAGCTTCAGGCAGGAGGGGTGGCCTGGGGGGGGGGAGAGGGGGGGAGTGGGGGGGGTGGGGGGAGAGAGTGGGGGGGAGAGGGGTGTGTGTAGTGTAGTGTAGTGTGTAGTGTATAGTGTAGTGTGTAGTGTGTGTGTAGTGTGTGTGTAGTGTGTAGTGTAGTGTGTAGTGTATAGTGTAGTGTATAGTGTAGTGTGTAGTGTAGTGTGTAGTGTAGTGTGTAGTGTAGTGTGTAGTGTAGTGTGTAGTGTAGTGTGTAGTGTAGTGTGTGTGTAGTGCGTAGTGTAGTGTGTGTGTAGTGTGTGTGTGTGTAGTGTGTGTGTGTGGTGTGTGTGTGTAGTGTGTGTAGTGTGTGTGTAGTGTGTGTGTAGTGTGTGTGTAGTGTGTATAGTGTGTGTGTAGTGTGTGTAGTGTGTGTATAGTGTGTGTGTGTAGTGTGTGTGTAGTGTGTGTGTAGTGTGTGTGTAGTGTGTGTGTAGTGTGTGTGTGTAGTGTGTGTGTAGTGTGTGTGTGTAGTGTGTGTGTAGTGTGTGTGTATAGTGTGTGTGTGTAGTGTGTGTGTAGTGTGTGTGTAGTGTGTGTGTAGTGTGTGTGTAGTGTGTGTAGTGTGTGTGTGTGTAGTGTGTGTGTGTAGTGTGTGTGTAGTGTGTGTGTGTGTAGTGTGTGTGTAGTGTGTGTAGTGTGTGTGTGTAGTGTGTAGTGTAGTGTGTAGTGTAGTGTGTAGTGTAGTGTGTGTGTAGTGTGTGTGTAGTGCGTAGTGTAGTGTGTGTGTAGTGTGTGTGTAGTGTGTGTGTGTGGTGTGTGTGTGTAGTGTGTGTAGTGTGTGTGTAGTGTGTGTGTAGTGTGTATAGTGTGTGTGTAGTGTGTGTAGTGTGTGTAGTGTGTGTATAGTGTGTGTGTGTAGTGTGTGTGTAGTGTGTGTGTGTAGTGTGTGTGTAGTGTGTGTGTGTAGTGTGTGTGTAGTGTGTGTGTATAGTGTGTGTGTGTAGTGTGTGTGTAGTGTGTGTGTAGTGTGTGTGTGTAGTGTGTGTGTAGTGTGTGTAGTGTGTGTGTAGTGTGTGTGTGTAGTGTGTGTAGTGTGTGTGTGTGTGTGTAGTGTGTGTAGTGTGTGTGTAGTGTGTGTGTAGTGTGTGTAGTGTGTGTGTGTAGTGTGTGTGTAGTGTGTGTAGTGTGTGTGTAGTGTGTGTATAGTGTGTGTGTAGTGTGTGTGTAGTGTGTGTGTGTAGTGTGTGTGTGTAGTGTGTGTGTAGTGTAGTGTGTGTAGTGTGTGTAGTGTGTGTGTAGTGTGTGTGTGTAGTGTGTGTGTGTAGTGTGTATAGTGTGTGTAGTGTGTATAGTGTGTGTGTAGTGTGTGTAGTGTGTGTGTGTAGTGTGTGGTGTGTGTGTAGTGTGTGTGTGTAGTGTGTGTGTAGTGTAGTGTGTGTGTAGTGTGTGTAGTGTGTGTGTGTGTAGTGTGTGTGTAGTGTGTGTGTAGTGTGTGTAGTGTGTGTGTAGTGTGTGTAGTGTGTGTGTGTAGTGTGTGGTGTGTGTGTGTAGTGTGTGTGTGTAGTGTGTGGTGTGTGGTGTGTGTAGTGTGTGTATAGTGTGTGTGTAGTGTGTGTGTAGTGTGTGTAGTGTGTGTGTAGTGTGTGTGTGTGTAGTGTGTGTGTAGTGTGTGTAGTGTAGTGTGTGTAGTGTGTGTGTAGTGTAGTGTGTGTGTAGTGTGTGTAGTGTGTGTGTAGTGTGTGTGTAGTGTGTATAGTGTGTGTGTAGTGTGTGTGTAGTGTGTGTAGTGTGTGTGTAGTGTGTGTGTAGTGTGTGTGTAGTGTGTGTGGTGTGTGTGTAGTGTGTGTGTAGTGTATAGTGTAGTGTATAGTGTAGTGGTGTGTACTGTAGTGTAGTGTGTAGTGTAGTGCATTGTGTAGTGTAGTGTATAGTGTAGTGTGTGTGTAGTGTAGTGTGTGTAGTGTGTGTGTGTGTAGTGTGTGTAGTGTGTAGTGTATGTGTGAGTGGAGTGTAGTGTGTAGTGTAGTATGTAGTGTAGTGTATAGTGTAGTGTGTAGTGTAGTGTATAGTGTAGTGTATAGTGTAGTGTAGTGTGTAGTCTATTGTGTAGTGTGTAGTGTATAGTGTAGTGTAGTGTATAGTGTAGTGTATAGTGTAGTGTACCGCTATTCCCGCAGTCTGCACAGGAGAGGAGGAATTCCGGTTCGCGGTTCCGGTTCCGGTCAGAGGACCCCAAACAGAAGCAGCAGACCAGCAGTGGTGTAGCAAACTCCTGCACAACAACAACCACAACAACAACCACAACCACAACAACAACCACAACAACAACCACAACAACAACCACAACAACCATTACCACCACGTGCACAACAACCACAAAAACAACCACAACAACAACCACAACAACAACCACAACAACAACCACAACAACAACCACAACAACAACCACAACAACCATTACCACCACGTGCACAACAACCACAACAACAACCACAACCACAACAACCATTACCACCACGTGCACAACAACCACAACAACAACCACAACAACAACCACAACAACAACCACAAAAACCATTACCACCACGTGCACAACAACCACAACAACCACAACCACAACCACAACAACCATTACCACCACGTGCACAACAACCACAGCAACAACCACAACAACAACCACAACCATTATCACCACGTGAACCACAACCACCACAACCACGACAATTACAACAACAACCACAACAACAACCATTACCACCACGTGCACCACAACCGCCATAACCACGACAATTACAACAACAACCACAACAACAACCATTACCACCACGTGCACAACAACCACAGCAACAACCACAACAACAACCACAACAACAACAACCATTACCACCACGTGCACCACAACCACCACAACCACGACAATTACAACAACAAACACAACTACCATCATCATCATAACCACCACCATCATCACAACCACCAACATCATTATCACCATCATCATCATCACAACCACCATCATCACAACCACCATCATCATCACAACCACCACCATCATCACAACCACCACCATCATCACAACCACCATCATAATCACAACTACCACCATCATCATCACCACCACCATCATCATAATCACCACCATCATCATAATCACCACCATCATCATCACAACCATCATCATCACAACCACCACCATCAAAACCACCACCATCATCATCATCACCACCATCATCACCATCACCACCACCATCATCATCACCATCATCATCACCATCACCGTCACCACCACCACATCAACAACCGCCATTCGCCACTCAGTGGCGGTGACGTCACCATGACGCTTGTGCCAGGCTAGGTGCAGCTCGAGGCCACGTGAAGTGTCGAACGCCCGCTGGCAGGAGGTGACGGGGCAGACCCAGGTGCCACGGGTCGACTGACTGAGATGACTGGCTGATGCACCACCTGTGCCCCCTACTGTGCCAACCTGCTGTGCTTTAGCCACCCGGCGCTCCGCTCGTTTTTGTGAGCGTCGCTCCTCCGCCCTCCGTTGTTGTTGGAGGGCGACTGCCTCCAACTGCCCAGTAGCGTCCTTCACGAGCCTCCTCCACAAAGGCCGATCTTGACACCGCTGGTACCGGTCATCGGCAAGTCCACTCAGCTCCAAGTCCTCCTGTATCACGTCACTCCATCTCTTCTCTAGCCCGTGCCACGCCCGTTTAGCCCCCTCTATCTGGCCGAACAAAGAGCCCAGGCCTACTGATGGTATCATAGGCCTTGACCAGGACAATGAAGCAGAGATGTAGGTCTTATTAGAATTCCCTACACCTCTCCTGTAGCAAACGGACAGAAAATATGGCATCTGTGCAGGACCGCCCTTTCCTGAAACCATATTGGGGCTCCGCAAGCCTCTCCTCAGCGTGCCTGGCAAGGCGATGTTGATAATCCTTGCCAGGACCTTTCCCGGCACACTGAGGATTGAGATGCCCCTTTAGTTGTTACAGCCTGTGCGGTCCCCCTTCTTAAAGAGGGGGACCACCAGGGCATCCTTCCAATCCTGCGGAACCCGTCCAGCCTCCTACCGTTGTTATTGAGCTGATCTGGCCCATGCCTTCCAATCACTCCAGGCCAGGTGCTAGCATCATGACCAACTTGGGCATTGAAGTCGCCCAACAAGATGACTCTATCCCGAGGGGCCACTTTAGCCAGCACCTGTGACAGGAGGTCATAGAAGGCATCAGACTCATCGGCCTTGCCTGCATCCCTCCACGGATGTTCGTCTTCGGTGGGGGCATAAGTAACCACGACCACCACTCCTCGCCTCCGGTAAATGGGAAGGCGAGCCCAAAGTAGCCTGGGGCTTACAGCTTCCCACACCTCACCGCCACGCTCCCACGCCCCCTTCATTCTTTTGTTCAGAAGAAGAGCCAAACCCTGTTGTTTGGCAGTCTGCTGCCCCGAGTAGAGGACTGTCCACCCCTCATGGTGGCAGGAGCCAGAACCGGTCCAACATACGTCCTGAATACCAAATAGATCCAGGCGGTACCGGTCCAGCTCCCGACAGAGGAGTGGCAGCCTCTCCACCACAGTGAGCGTTCGAACATTCCACGTGGCCACACGAAGTGGCTTTTCGTTGTTTCTGGAGGAACCCCGAGGGTAAAGATTCAATCTCTACCACACTCATCACCACCACTACACTCATCATCACCACCGCCACCGTCACCACCACCACCATCATCACAACCACCATCATCATCACCACCATAACCCACCACCATCATCACAAACACCACCACCATCACCACCATCATCATCACCATCACCACCATCACCCACAACTATCACCACCATCACCACCACCATCATCACCACCACCACCATCATCATCATCATCACTACCACCATCACCATCACCACAATCATCATCATCATCACCACCACCGTCACCACCACCATCAACAACCGCCATTCGCCACTTAGTGGCGGTGACGTCACCACGACGCTTGTGCCAGGCCATGTGCACCTCGAGGCCACGTGAAGTGTTGAACGCCCGCTGGCAGGAGGTCACGGGGCAGACCCAGCAGGTGCCACGGGTCGACTGGCTGAGATGACTGGCTGATGCACCACCTGTGCCCCCTACTGTGCCAACCTGCTGTGCTTTAGCCACCCGGCGCTCCGCTCGTTGTTGTGAGCATCGCTCCTCCGCCCTCCGTTGTTGTTGGAGGGCGACTGCCTCCAACTGCCCAGTAGCGTCCTTCACGAGCCTCCTCCACAGAGGCCGATCTTGACACCGCTGGTACCGGTCATCGGCAAGTCCACTCAGCTCCATGTCCTCTTGTACCACATCACTCCATCTCTTCTCTAGCCCGTGCCATGCCCGTTTAGCCGCCTCTATCCGGCCGAACAAAGAGCCCAGGCCTACTGATGGTATCATAGGCCTTGACCAGGTCAATGAAGCAGAGATGTAGGTCTTATTAGAATTCCCTACACCTCTGCTGTAGCAAACGGACAGAAAATATGGCATCTGTGCAGGACCGCCCTTTCCTGAAACCATATTGGGGCTCCGCAAGCCTCTCCTCAGCGTGCCTGGCAAGGCGATATTGATAATCCTTGCCAGGACCTTTCCCGGCACACTGAGGAGTGAGATGCCCCTGTAGTTGTTACAGTCTGTGCGGTCCTCCTTCTTAAAGAGGGGTACCACCAGGGCATCCTTCCAATCCTGCGGAACCCGTCCAGTGGTCCAGACTGTTGTTATGATGTCATGTAGGGCAGTCTGTGAGGGATTTCCCCTCCCCCAGCACCTCACAGAAATGCCGAGCAAATCTGCAAACCCGCTCCTGGGGGGTCGGAGATTGGATCACCGTTTTTTCCCCTAATGATAATAGGTGTGGCGGTGCAGGTTACTTTTTGATGGAGTTAAATAGAGATGTGATCGCGGGCCACTGAGGCAGACTCCATCTCCTCAGCAACCCGCGACCACCACCCATCCTTGCAGCGCCTCACGGCTCTCCGAACCTCCGAGCGAAGGCTGCGGTAAGCCTCCTCATTCTCTGACGTGGGATTCTGTAGCCGATGACAGTGGGCCTGTCGCTTTTTCTCAACCATCCTGAACACCTCCTCTGTCAGCCAGGGTCTCTGGGGAGGTCTGGACCGCGTACCCAAAGCAGCCATTGCAGCTGCATGAGTCACAGTCCTAAACCTCGCCCATTTACCCTCGACATCAAGAGGAGTGGGGGACGATGCCAATCACAGCCGCAAGCGATGATGAAATTATCGCTTGCAACTTTCATCAGCTAGCTGAGACCAGGCCACCATAGGTTGGAATGGGGTCCTGGGTGTACACCCACCACCGGAGTGGAAGAATGGCAGGCGCATCTTACAGATGACTAGTCGATGGTCAGTGGGCAGATCAGCTCCACGGTAGGTCCTGGTGTCAAGGACATGGGCCCGCATCCGCTGGTCCGTCACTACGTAGTCCAGCAGATGTTCTTGCTTGGACCCGGCATGCATCCATGATGTTGTGTGGATGCGCCCATGCCGGAACAGCGTGTTGGTAATTTCAAGCCCATGGGCTGCACAAAAATCTAGCAGCCTCCTACCGTTGTTATTGAGCTGATCTGGCCCATGCCTTCCAATCACTCCAGGCCAGGTGCTAGCATCATGACCAACTCGGGCATTGAAGTCGCCCAACAAGATGACTCTATCCCGAAGGGACACTTTAGCCAGCACCTGTGACAGGAGGTCATAGAAGGCATCAGACTCATCGGCTTTGACTGCATCCCTCCACGGATGTTCGTCTTCGGTGGGGGCATAAGTAACCACGACCACCACTCCTCGCCTCCGGTTGACGGGAAGGCGAGCCCAAAGTAGCCTGGGGCTTACAGCTTCCCACACCCCACCGCCACGCTCCCACGCCTCGTTCATTCTTTTGTTCAGAAGAAGAGCCACACCCTGTTGCTTGGCAGTCTGCTGCCCCGAGTAGAGGACTGTCCACCCTTCATGGTGGCAGGAGCCAGAACCGGTCCACCATACGTCCTGAATACCACATAGATCCAGGCGGTACCGGTCCAGCTCCCGACAGAGGAGTGGCAGCCTCTCCTCCACAGTGAGCGTTCGAACATTCCACGTGGCCACACGAAGTGGCTTTTCGTTGTTTCTGGAGGAGCCCCGAGGGTAAAGATTCAATCTCTACCACACTCATCACCACCACAACACTCATCATCACCACCGCCACCGTCACCACCACCACCATCATCACAACCACCATCATCATCA